GAAAAGCAGCAGGAGAAGATGGAGTTTCTATTGATTTTATTAAAGGATTACCGGAAGTTTGGGCCAAAGAGGTCCATAGAGTATTAAATGGAATGTGGAAAGATGGGGTGCTGGGACCTGGCTGGGAAAAAGCAAGAATATTCCCTATTCACAAAGAGGGAGAAGAGCATGTAACGGGAAATTACAGAGGTGTATCATTGCTGGATGTGGGGTATAAAATTCTAGCTGCTGTTTTGGATGAGAGGTTAAGAACTTGGATGGAAAAGAAAGGAAAATTCGAGGAAAGTCAAGGAGGATTTAGAAGGAAAAGAGCCACGCGTGATCACATCTGGGTTTTAAATTCGTTAATTAACAATAAGCTGAAAAGTAAAGAGGGAAAATTACATGTAGCCTTTATAGATTTGAGGAAAGCCTTCGACACAGTGGACCGGGGTATATTATTGAACAAAATATGGAAATTGGGTATAAGAGGAAGAATGTTCAAAATGATTGAAGCAATTTATAGCAAAACACTTAATGAGGTCATTACTGGAGAGGGGTTAACAGAGCATTTTGTTACAATTAGAGGGGTCAGACAAGGGTGTCCACTTAGTCCACTACTTTTTAATATATTCATTCAAGATATGGACGAAATATGGGAAAAAGAAAATATAGGGGGAACGGTCATAGGGAAAAAGAAAATATTCGTGCTAAAATTTGCTGACGACTTGGCTTTAGTAGCAGACTGGGCGGAGGGACTGAAGGAAATGCTGAAAAAACTCGAAAAATATGTAAGTAAAAACAGACTGGAGGTAAATGCAGATAAGTCTAAAGTAATGGTGTTCAGAAATGGGGGTAGAAGACGGCAAGCGGATAAATGGGAAATAGAGGGTAAAGCACTTGAAGTTGTTAACGAATATAAATATTTAGGATTTTGGTTTTCCACAAAGAATTCGTACTCAAAACATGTCCAAAAATTGGCGGGAAAAGCAAGAATGGCAACAAACTCAGCATGGGGAATACTAAAAAGGGCTAGAATTAATAATTTAGGGAAGCGATTGTATTTAATGGATACTTTAGTGAAGGCAGGAGGATTGTACGGGGTAGAGATTTGGGGGTGGAAAAGGAGGGAAGAAATAGAAAAATTACAAGGAAGATTCGTCAAGATGGCAATGGGTATTAATGTCACAACTCCAGACTACATATGGAGGATGGAAGCAGGCAGACATAGAATTGAAATCGAGGCAAGAAAGAGAGCAATTAATTATCTAATGACAATTGTCAAAATGGGAGAGGAAAGATGGCCAAAAATTTGTCTAAGAGAGGAGTTAAGGGGGATAATTAATGCAAACCCTTCAAATTTGGGAAAATCATTGCAGAAAATTTGCCAGGATGTTGGAGATGGAGAAACATTAAAATGGCTATGGGAAGGAGGACAAGATGATAAAGTTAAAAATAAATTGATGAACGGAGTACGAATTACACTAGATCAGGAAATTCAAAACGATTGGGGTAGAATCAGGGATTCAAAATACTGCAAGGAATACAAAATCTTAAAAAAGGCACCAGGTAGGGAAAAGTATTGGGAAGATAAAAAAATTAAAGGGGAAATAAAAGAACAATGGGCTCGACTAAGGTGTGGAAATGTGGGGAAGGCGGGTAATAAAGGGTTTCTGGATACCATGTGCAGATTATGTGAGGTTGAGGAGGAAAATATTTTTCATATCTGGAATTGTGGAAAAGCAAGGGAAATCTTAAGTAAGAAATGGGTAGATGGTGTACTAAGGTGGGCTGAAGGGAAAACAGGGACTCAGTTTGAAGATTTGTTATTAAGAACTTTGAGTGGAGAGCCGAATCTCGTCCTCATCGAGTACGCGAAAGAATTTGTAGAAAAATCAAAGACTACATGTTGTAATTTATAATTAAGAAATGATTTGTTAAATGAAGTTAAATATAACTGATGTGATTTAATGTATAGAGAATTAATACTACTATTTATAAGATATTTTAAATTTAAGTATTGCGGGAAAGTATATTGTAAAACTTATGTAAAGTGTACAATGGAGAAATAAATAAATAAATATAAAAATTGATTTATTTTTTATAGTGAAATTTTAATTAAATTAATAAGTTTTCGAACAAAATCAATTATTTAAACAACTTTTTATAAAATTCTTCGCAAGAATTGAATTTTTTTATAAATAATAAAACGTATCGCAGAATTCCAATTATTTTCTATACAATTTTAAATTAATTACCCGAAAAATACTGTTTTTCTTTAAAAAACTTATTAAAATTCTTCGAAAAAATTCAATTTTAAAAAATATTTAATTATTCAATGAATTATTTTTTTTTTACTTTTCAATAATTGAATTGCAATTACAATTTTAGATAGTAATTAAATATTGGAAGCATTATTATATTATATTTTTTTAGAAATAATTAAATTTCAAAAGATTTTAAAATTTTTAAAATATTTTAAATTTAAAAATCTTCTGAAAATTTTAATTGTTGTGAATCTGTAACATAATTTAATTTTTTATTTTTTAAAAGTTATTAATTTATTATTTTCTTAAAAAATGATTAAAGTTTTGAATAATTTAAATTAAAAATTTGGACAAAAAAATGATTGAATTTTAGAAGAATTACAGTTGTAATTTTTAGAAATTGTTAAATTTCAAATAGATTTTACACAGTAATAATTTAAAATATTGTAATTCAATTGAAATAAATTGTACATTTTAAAGAAATTTTTTTTCTACTTTTAAAAATTATTTTTAAATAGGATAATCGTATTTTTGATGAATTTTAAATTGATATTTAAAAAATTATTGAATTTTGTAAAAATTTCGAATATTGAAGTTATTAGCAGTATAAGAAAAATCGTAAATATTTTTGATGAAAATTAAAAAAAAATCAGGGAAATAAAATTCAGACTCGAATTTTTATTTTATTGAATCATCTAAAACATGTTTTTTTAGTCGTCAAATTTAATTTTTCAACTGATACTTTTTTACTACTTTTTTATTTCTTGAAGCTACTTTTTGCTAGTTTTTTAAAATTAATTATCGAGTGTAAAGCCCCTTATTCGATTAAAAACAAATTTTTGTTCTACAAACAGAAACTTGTAATCAAGATGCATTAAACCTATAATTTCTTTGTTTTTAAGGTTTATTTTTTCAGAATGCAACACATAAGTATTTTATGTTAATAATTGCACAGCATTGCATATTATAAATTATTTTATGTATTATACATTATTATACATATGTATAATTTATAATTAGTAATTTATATACCATATAAATTTAAGATACGCTTATTTACGGGTTTTTAAATATAGTAAAAATGAAATATTTTATACATTTGTAAATATAAATTATTTTTTCCATCTATTTTGTTTAAAATTTAAATATAATTATACGTTTGTACGAAAATCGTTGAATCTCGATGTATTACGACATATACAGGTTTTTTGCTGATTATATTGATTCTTTTGGAGAACAATGAGTCACCGTCGATTCATCTGATACGTATATGCCTTAAGCACCCTTCTTCTTTAGCGTTTTTTCAGATAATACAGATATACTATTCACTAATTTAGAACATTCCAGGCAAAAATTTATTTCCAGTATTTGTAAAAAAAATAATGCGGAAATAAAAAATAGAATCAAGCAAATAGGACTTTGATTGTTAACTATTAGTTAATCTCATATTATAAGTGGGTCTGTTGTGTTCCGTATTTAAAACGCAATTGCCTTTTATATGTGTTGTCACCAAAGAATATTGTGTGTGTAGTACATTAATACATATGGTTGATGCTATATTTGTTCATTTGCTTGCCCTGGAGGGAACTTCATAAATGGAACCACTAAAGATGGATTTTGGCAAAGATGTTGGTCTCTTAAAAAAATACGATTGTTTATTTAACTCCCAAAAGGTTTAAAGGTGAAAATATAAAAAATTTGTATAAACACCGATTTGGATTTATACAAATTTACAAACATTTGTACTCCTGAATTTCGAATTTTGCCGATTATTTTTATAATGCTTCTTCTTCTTTCCCTCTTTAGAAATTTGAAACCGATTTGCGGTAAAAATTGCAAAAATAATATCTATATTAATGAAATGAATTACGATTTTAGATTGCTAGAAAATAAATGGACATAAAGAATTAATATCTGCATCATTGACAATTATTTGTGATTAGTGATAATTAACTCGTTGATTTAAATTGATTGAGAAATACATTTTTAAATTCTATTGTTTGTGTAATATATTTAGTGGATATTAAATAATTTTTTTTTGTAACATCTACGGCACTGGTCTCAACCCACAGGATGAGTAGATATGCCAGGCGTCGCGACGCCGGCGCAAAGCTTTCGATCAATCTTCTCGTTTCTTCTTTTGCATCAGAGCGAGGGTTTGCATCGGAGTGCCACTCAGGGCACGACTGAACAGTGGTTCCTAATATCGGCAATAGTTCAAAAATAAAAGAAGAAGAATACCGGTATTAACACGATGTAACATCAACGTGTGACAAAATGTTCTTCGTTTCTCGTAATCTGCAAATTATATCAATTAGGGAAATTTTCAAACCCAACATATTAGGAATCGTTCTTCTTCTCTAATAAAATTTAGTGCGTTTCAAAGAAAAACGAAAGTTGCAAAAGTGACAGAAAGGGGAATTAGAAATGCACTATTTGGAAATACCGATTTTGGTTTAGTTTAGTTACTAAAAAAATCCAATGGCTCGTCGATTCGATTATGATGAAATGGATTTTCAATTTGGATTACGTTACCGAGACGTTAGTGGAGAGAATGAAAAAGGTGTTCGTGGCGCTGCGGTAAGGGAAGAAATAAGGATTTCTTGTTTTCGGTTCGAAGAATCTTATTGTGTCGCATTTTGCCTTTTTTAAGTTTAACGATTTAAGTTTCACTGATTTTAATGGGTTGAGAAGTTTAAATTAAACTATGGAGTATTTGGAATTTTGTGAATTAAATATTTCTATTTTTTACAGAACGATAACAAGGGCGCGACGAAAAGAGGAATGCCTTATACAAGAGGTGCTGCAATGTCCTTCGGATTCCGTAGGAGACCAACAACTGGAATTCCGGTGCCAGTAACGAATTACAATACAGAGACGAATGTAATACAACCGAGGTCGAAATCAGCTGGACCTGAACATGACCGAAGAAGAGATGATAATTATCAGCAGGGAAGAACGCAGAGTTCGTCTTCGGGACGATCGACTCCTCGACTGGCACCGCCTAAAAAAGAATCGTCCGGTGTCAACATTAGGACCAATCGCTTTGGCTTCAGACACACACAAGCCAAATATACCGATAAGGTTTCGGACGTTTGTACAAGTCATTTGAATCAAGATAAAAATGTCATTCAACAACAGAATCAGGATAATTACAATCTGAGGCAGAGTAGATCGCCAGGTCCTCCACTAACGAAACCAAGACCCTCGCCAGTCAATCATCCATCTTACAACAATAATCATCTGTTACAAGAAAAGAGTGTTGAGAGAAAAATTTCCGGAATACCGGAACCTGTTAGTAAGTACACATTGCATACGAGTCATCTACCTCTTCCGCAGTACGCCGTCAGGGTGAGTGATTCAAATTCGAAAATTGCCAAAACTGTCGCGAATCAGAGTCGAAAGGTGTCGAGGGGATGTTCATCGAAGGAGGGATCCGGTACGGAGGATTCTGGCGTTGGAAGTCATCACGGTTATTCAGATGAGCAGGATATGGTGCGAGGTGTTGATTTTATCGACACTCCAGCAGGCAGTAGACGAGGCGGTCACCTGAGACCACGAAATTTGAGAATGGTCGTCACGGGAAAGAGCTTCGACGTTAGAGACGTTGATGACGATAGTACAGTGACGGAAATTTCTGTAATTCCTCTTCCAAAATCATTCGCCACTCCAAATATTAATACCGGTCTCGTGAGGGAGAGAACAACGCATTATCAAAGGATCCTCAATAAGGACAATAGATACACCGAATCAACTACCTCCATGTCGACAACATCGTCCGAGGGTTACGACGACGGCCTAGAGGAGAAAGTCTATAAAGACAGATCACATTCCGAGAAAATTCCCTCCATCAAGTCTGATTTTAGTCCACCAAGTTCTGATGATCCGGAATATGGACATGGCGAAGCGATGGCGGACGAGTATTCGTTAAGTTCCAGTGACGAATGTCAAAGGATATTGTCCACTGAGCATTTGAAGACTATTTCGAATGCTGCTAAAAATGGTACTTTGCCTAAAAATGCGTTACGTTCGGTGTTATTGACAATTGAGGATCCGGCATTTGCGGCTGTTGCGGCGACAGCGACAGCGCTTATTGATGATGAGACATCGCCTGTTGATAGTTTATTCGATAGTCCTACAGTCAGTATTACTCAGTCTGATGGGAAGACAAGAAAAGAGGGCGATAAATCACCGAATGTTGTCGAGGATGATAGTCCAGGTACACCGACAAATGCTTCTAATTCATTGAGTTTGTCCGAGGGCAGAGAGTTTTTCGATGACGAAATTGAAGATCAGCCTGGATTAGTTTTTGATGACACTGGACGAGTGCCAATTGAAAATCGATCCAGGACTAACAGTCAAGCGCACACGGATAATAGTCAAACCTTAATTGAGTCTACAGCTAAAACAGGTGAGAGAAATTGTTTTCATCTTTTTTATTCTTTCTCTCCTATTTTGTTTTTTTTCTAATTCTTCTTCTTAAAATTAATCAAAGCACATTGATTTAAAGTAAAGAATAATAATTTTAATGATTACTTTTTTTCAGTTTTGATACAACCCAAAAGCGTCGAGAATAGTCCAATGCGAATGCGACGAGTAACACGGGCTGGAAGTATTGACACTTTATCCTCATGTGAATCGATTGCATCTGATGATTTGATGTTGGATTATGAGAGAAGTGACGCCAGTTCTTATGGCGATACAACTCTTAGGTATAACAAATTGCCAAAAAAAAGAAATTTTTTTATCAGACTAAAGTCTGCAACTTTTTTCAAAAATGAAAAAAGTAGAAATAGTCAGGGAAATCAGGGAAAAGTCTGGGATTTTTATTAAAAGTATTTTATAAACTATGAAATTACCACGAATTCTATTAATAAAACCTTCGATTTTTTCTATTTCTTATAATAATTTCTTTTTAAATAACTCAAGTTTTCAAAAACTATCATAAAATTATTAAATTTATTAATGAATAATTTTACTTCAATATTTCAAAATTAATTGAATTTTAAAAGAGTTAAGTTTACATTTTTCATAAATAGATCAACTTCAAAAGGATTTAATTTGAAATTTTATAAAATTTCAATTTTAATTGAATTTCATTAGAAATTTTAAAGAACTTAGAAATTTGAAAAAAATGTAATAATTGAAATTCTTCTGAAGTTAGTTAAATTTTTTTTTAAACATTTAATTAATTCTTAAAGATAATGGATTTATAGAAGAATCTTAGTTAAAAACACTAAAAAAATTGATTTTGGAGAAGTTACAAATGATTGCAGAAATTCAATTATTTTCAGTAATTTTTAAAAATTCTCGTCAAAATTTAAATTATTTTTAAAAGTAATGAAAATCTTTTCAAAAATTCAATTATTTTCAAAAACTTTCCTCAATTTAATGATTTTCAATATCTACTATGTATTTTAATAAAATTTTCCAAACGAATTTAATTACTTAAAAACATTTTAATAAAATTATATGCAAACATTTAATTATTTTGCATATAATTTTGATAAAATTCTTCTCAAAAATTCAATTATTTTTATAAATAATAAAATTCCCTCATGAATTCAATTATTTAAAATACAGTTTTTATAAAAGTTATTGGACAAAATAAATTCTTCACAAGAATTAAATTATTTTTATAAATAATAAAATTATTTTTAAGAATTCAATTATTTTCATAAATAATAAAACTCATCGCAGAATTTCAATTATTCAGAATACAATTTTAAGAAAAATTCAATTATTCTATGAATTATTTATTTTTGTATTTAAATATTTGAATTCTAGAATTGTAGAATTTTCTAAAAAAAAATTGATTTAAAAATGAATTTCAGTTAAAAACTAAAACAAAAAATAATTGAATATTAGAAGCATTATAGAATAAATTTTTAGACATAATTACATTTCAAAAGAGTTTTAAATTGAAATCTTTGAAAATTTTAATTTTTCGCACATTTAATTACAATTCTGTAGAACAAATTTTTTTGAAAAATTTAAATTCCTAATTCTGGAGAAATTTGTTGAATCCTTTAATATATTTTTAATTATTCAGAATTTTTTTAAATGATTGAATTACGAAAAGATTTTAAATTAAAATTTTTCATACTTTAAATTAACAATTTTGTGAAATTAATTTTTTTCTAAACTTTCAATTCCAATTTTTTTGAAATAATTTCAATAGAATTCAATTATTTACAAAATTTCAATAAAATTCTTCACAAGAATTCAAATATTTCCATAAAGATTAAAATTCTTTTAAGAGATTCGATTATTTTCATAAAAATAATAAAACTCATTGTAAAATTTCAATTATTTTTAATACAATTTTGATCGAATTTCTCTAAAAATGTAATTATTCTTAAAAACGAAATTAAAATTCGTCAAAAGAAGTCAATTAGGTAGATTAGAATTTTAGATAATAATTAAATATTAAAAGCATTATAGTAGCACGAATTTTCAGAAATAATTGCATTTTGAAAGTTTTTCAAATTAAAATCTTTGATAATCTAAATTTTTCATACTTTTAACTAACAATTCTGAAGAATTAATTTTTTTGAAAAAGTTTAATTGACTTGTTTTTAAATTATTTGAAGTTTGTATTTTCTAATATAATATTGTATTGAAGAATTTCAGAATATTGAAATTTTGTTAAATTTAATTTTAAACAAATGGATTTGAAAATTCTCAAAGATTTTTTTCAAAAATTATTAAAAATAATTGATTTAATGAAGAATTTTAGTTAAAAATTCTTGAAAATAATAATTGAATTGAAATAATCAAAATAATTTTGAAAAATTTACAGTAACAATGTTTTTATATTATAAAATAATAATTCTATCACTTGCTCATCTTTAATTATTATAAAACATGAAGAATTGGATCACTCTGAGTCGAAGTGATCGATATCTTCATGTTTTATAATAAATATTCTTCTAAGTTGTTGAATGTCAAAAGGGTTTGAATTTGAAATTTTTGAAAATCTTAATTCCTATGGAAAATTATTAATGATTAAATATTTATTTAAAAATGAAGTCATTGCTGTTTTAGAATAATTTTCCAATTAAAGAAAGTCGTAAATAAATGTAATAGAACATATACTTGAGTATCTAATAATTTTGAGAGTGAATCAGAATATTCCTTATGGTCAGGAAAAAAGTCAAAATTTTGTTCGGAAATAAAAATACAATTGAGTGTAATGCAAAATGACGATAAAAATGAATATAATGAAAAGAAAAAGTTTGGAGTCAGAAACTGGAATATATGTGAAATAATTACATTTTGATAAATATGATAATAATGAATAAAAATCATAACAATAGAAAAATTAAGACAATTGGTTTAAAAATAAAATAATTAAATTTAAAGCCTGAATAAAATAAATCGTCGCATTACTTTTTTCGATGGGGACTTTAGCTACATATTTTTATAAAAATAATATAAAAATATTTATATATATATATAAATTATTATTTTACAATTTTCCTTGCTTTTCGATGACAAAATGTAAATTTTGGTTTCGTTTTCATTTTAGAATTCATTCGTCGCATAATGACGACGATGATGATGTCAATGAACTATTAGATCTGGAAGTACAAAGTCAAGAAGTTATGAGAGAATGGACTTCTCTTTTGGGAGCACATCACATTAATACCACCAACAACAATGCTAATCTTGGCATCAATAATAATAATCCCACCACGGATTCGGGGTATGTAATACTTTTTTATTACAGTTTATCTTCAAATCAGCACTAATCGATAAATATTTTTGCATACGTTTGATTTCAAATAATTTTCAAGTTATTATTTGAACTAATTATCTAGTAGCTTATTAAACTAAATGAATTATTATTAAAAAGTTTCAATTAACATTGAAATACTTCAGTGAATAGTAAAAACTCATGTGAAATTTTGGGCTCTATTGTTTGTTACAAAAACTTTCTTGTTGAAATTTAATGAAAATTAATTTTTTTTTTAAATATAATTTTTCAAAATATAATTCTTCAAAAATACGATTATATTTCAAAACAATATTTTTTAAAAGTATTAAAATTCAATTATTTCAAATACCTATAAAATTTATTTCAATGAAATTTGACAAAACTTTTAATTTTCTTTATTTTTTAATCAAGAAAAAAATGTTCTTGATTAGGTTAATTATATACTTTGAAAATTCCCAGAAAATGGAGTTTTTTTTATATATTTGTAATTTTATTTTTTGAAGAAACCTTCTTGGTAAGTTTTTTGTTATGTTTACAAAGTTTAGTATTTTTTACAAGAAACTTTTTAGAAATGTAAAGAAAAAATTTTTACTTATAAATTACATGTATTTTCAGTTTAAATATCTGAGGATGCCTGTCGTCGACGGGCGAAAGCTCATAAATAAAATATTTTAAATAATAAAAGCAATGGATTTTTATCAAACACTATAAAATCACACTAAAATTATAAATCCAAACAAAATAACATCACAATAAAACTTTTAATTGTTTCAATTTTTAAAATAACTTTCGGGAATCCAATTATCTTCAAAAAAAATTGTAATTACGATTTATCAAAAAAGTAATTTTTTTAATAACCTCTAATTATTGTAATAATAATGAATTATTCTAATTAATATGAAAATATTTCAATTAATACTGAAATAGTTTAGTTAATATTAAAATATTTATATTGAAATATTTGAGATCATTGAATAATTAAAAAAAATTTAATTTTTAATCCAAGTTTAATTTCAATAATACGCAAAAATATTTATGGATTTGTCATGACTTTTCTTTCTTTCTTTTTTTTTGCTTGCTTGTGTACAGTGAATAATTTGTACGTTGCAATGTGAGAAAATGGGGAAAACAGACTTTGAGATTGACTGCTGGTACTCATCCTTTATTTTTTAATTTCGCTGCTTTTTTAAATAAGAAATTACATTATTTTCAAAATTATTTGCTACTAGGAAGCTTATTAGTTGTATAGAAGTAGGAATTTTTCAAAAAGAAAAACTAAGGCACTTTGATAAAATTTTCCAAAAGAAAGACTGGAGTAAAAGCGAAATTTGTTTTTAGACAGAAACAGCAGTTCATACATTAAATTGAAGTTTATTAAACCTATAAAGTTTATTATATAAAATAAAAATGGGTAACGGGTACAGTGACCGACACCGACACCCATTCAGTGAACGACACCCTCAATTAAAAATCATTTACAAATTGCAATAAATATAAAACAAAACATTATTAATGTATATTTGAAAAATGTTAATATTATAAAATGCAATTTTTGGAAGCTATTAAAATATCAGCCATATTAATTTCGTTTATATTTTGGATAAAATTTCAAGTTCTTTGGAGATAACCTCAAAATTCACTTTTTAAGGTTATCTTCACAGCTTCACAGAAAGTAAAATGCTGTTAAAAATAAAAATAAATTAAATATTGCTACTACTTTAATAGCTTCCATTTATTGTATTTTATAATATTAATATTTTTAAAATATTTATTAACAATGTTTTGTTTTATATTTATTGCGATTTCTAATTGGGGTGTCGTTCACTGAATGGGTGTCGGTTACTGTACCCGTTACCCTAATTTAAAAAAAAAAAATTTTTAATTTTTTTTATAGAAAAATTTGTAAATACATTTTGTAGATTACGTTTTTTAAGTATAAAATATCTTCAATTTGTACATATAATAGTGAAAAGTAACATTTACTATTCGTGTAAATAAATAAATTAACGAATTCGAAAATAATACCTATAATGCAAATTTACCATTTGCAGTAGTTTGAAAAATATTTGAAAATAGTATAAACAATATTTTAAAGACGATCTACTTTTTCGAATACTTTATAAAAATTTTAAATTCAAAATGAATACGAAAATAAAAATAAATTTTCTCTTAGAACACAAAGTGTAGGAATTTTATTTTATTTTTATTAACTAAATATAATTATTTGAGTTAGATTTTTAGAAAAATGGTAGACAAATAACGTCGATATATTGAGCGTGCTCTGTATTATTTTTATTAACCAAAGGTCCATAAGTGACCTACTGGCAACATTCGTTCGTGCACATTGAAATAACAGGGTTAATTGGAATATTTTTTAATGGTAATTTTAATAGACCATAAATAAATTTCTTTTTTTCAAAATGTTCGTAATAGGCAAAATGAAATTCAAAATCAATTTTATATTTTATTTTAGTATTTAGGAACACTTGGGTATATTCCTAAATGGAAATATTTCGAGTGAAAACAGCTTTTTTTAAACTTAGGTATTATTTTTGATAATTTTATTTTTATTTTTCTTAATTTGAATTATTTTTTTTATAAATTAACTATGACGATCGAGTGCAGGCTTTACACTTATCTACTAAAATCAACTATTTACTACTTTTTACGATTTGATACTATTTGGATATTTTTTTTAGATTTGTAACACTAAAAGTTACTTTTTTCTTTCTTTTTTTGAGAATTTGCAGAACTTTAAATTTGCTAAAAGTTGAAAAAAATATTCTTAAAAGTTTTAATAAAATTCTAAGAAACGATTAAAACATTATCATAAAATTTTAGAAATTCAATGATTTTCAATATCTAATATTTTAATACAAATTTCCAACAAAATTCAATTATTTTCATAAATAATAAGATTTTTATAGGAAGTAAATTATTTAAAATACAATTTTTATAAATTTTTTCAAAACAAAGCAATTATTTAAAAGAATTTTAATAAAATTCCTAGAAACGATTCAATTATTTTCCAAAATTTTAATAAAATTATACCTATATAAGAATTGAATTATTTTCAATAAAATTTTAATTACACTCATCGAAATAAATTACAGGAATTCAATTATTCTCATAAATAATCAAATTCTTTGCTGAAATTCAATTATCTTCGAAAATTTATAAAAAATTCTAGTCAAGATTTCAATTTTCTTTACAAATAGCAAATTCTTCCCAGAAATTCAAATATTTTCAAGAATTTTAATAAAGTTTTATATAAGAATTCAATTATTTTCAATAAAATTTTAATAAAATTCTTCGCGGGAATTCAATTATTTTCATAAATAATAAAATTTTCACAGGAATTCAATTATTTAAAATACAATTTTTATAAAAGTTATTAAACAAAATTAATTATTTAAACAAATTGTTATACAATTCTTTGCAAGAATTGAATTATTTTTATAAATAATAAAACGTATCGCAGAATTTCAATTATTCTCGATACAATTTCAATTGGATTCCCCGAAAATTAAGAAATTTTGATAAAATTCTTATAAGAATTCAATTTTAAGAAATATTCAATTATTCAATAAATTATTTAATTTTATATTTAAATAATTTAATTTTCGTAGAGTTTTCTGATAAAAATTGATTTAAAAATTAATTTCAGTTAAAATTTTACTTAATAATTGAATATTAAAAGCAAAATAGCCTGAATTTTTAAAAATTATTGAATTTTAAAAGATTTTGAAATTGAAATGTTTGAAAATTTTAATTGTAAAACTGTAACAATATTGAATTTTTTATTTGAAAAAAAATTATTAATTCATTATTTTCTTAAAAAATGATTAAAGTTTTGAATAATTCTAATTAAAAATATCAACAAAAATATTATTGAGTTTTGGGAGAATTACAGTTGTAATTTTTAGAAATTGTTAAATATTAAAGAAGATTTTACACTGTAATATTTTAAAACATTATAATTCTTGTTTTGAATGTAATAATTTAATTTGGGAATTGTGAAAAAAATCGTCTGTTAAAAAATTGTAATTAAAATGTTTTGAAGATAGTTGAATTCCCGTAAATAATTTTAAAAGATTTAATTATTTCCAATTATTTGGAAATTTTGTCAAATTTATTTGAAATAAATTATTTTTTTCTTCTTTTAAAAATTAATCTTAAATATAATCGTTTTCTTGAAGAATTTTATTTAAAATTAAAATTTAGAAAATTATTGAATTTTGTAAAAATTTAGAATTGAAGTTATTGGCAGTATAAGAAAAATCGTAAATACTTTTGATGAAAATTAGCAAAAAGTAGGGAAATAAAATGCAGAATCAAATATTTGTGATTTTTCTGAATCGTCTAAAACGAGTTTTTTTAGTCGTCAAATTTAATTCCTTTTTTAAAATTAATTAATTATCGAGTGTATCGAGTGCGAAGCCTGCGAGTGATAAAATGTAAAAGTTAAATTATTTTTTCTAAACTTTAATTTTTTTTAAATAGATTTTTCAAATAGATTTTTACCAGGGCGTTGCGGAAGTATTTGGAATATGAATTCGAATTGAAGTAGTTGATTCGAAATTATTTTAAGTTTGGCAAATTTTTTGTTTAATTCTTTTTTCGGGTCTAGAATTTTGTTCATACCCCCCATTGAAATGAAAAAAAAGAGAATAAAATCTACAGTAAGTTTATCAGCTCCCTCCCCTTCGTTTGTAACTCGTTGCTAAGGTTGAGCGCAGCCGGTGCGGCACGAGCACGACGGTTGTAGTTTTAGCTCTCGGTGTATGTATATACTGGTTCAATGTAATCGCGCTTTGCTGGCGATGCCAGTCTACTACAGTCAGCCACTGACAATAGTCTTTCACTAGTTAGTTACTTGCGAAATACAAGGATATTTCATAAACATTTTTCCTTTCTTTATTGCTAAACGTATAACGAATTTCCAACAATGTTTAACAACTTGTGGAATACTTGAAAAGTATTTGTTA